ATCAATAACACACAGTAAGGTGTCCCGTACCCTGTAACCTTACAAAACATACAAAATTATCTTTGGTGGAATTAAGTATTGATAAAAAGTTTTGTGGATCATGTTTTCATCATAATAACATTATTTTCTTTCTTTCCACAAGGGCAAAATGCATACAAATATAAATTTCCGATGACCCGTGGGGGTGGCGTAGGTGCGAAAATATTGAGGTAAGCGCCATAAATCACAGCCGCAGGAAGTGACGGTGGGGGTCCAAAACAATTTATCAATGCTATTATCGATCACGCCCCATCGTGGGTTGGCACACGTGCCGCGTACTCGACCTCCCTCTCACGTGATATATTATCGTCGATTAACTATCAATTTTTACAGCTTTTTAAAAATACAAAAATCAACCACAATTTCAATTAGTAATAATTTGACGAAATAAAGTACAAAAGTGAAATAAACTAAATTGTATAATAAATTTCTTCGACCCGCTGATAAATCACATCCTTACTTTTCGGAAAAAAATCTAAAAGGTACTCCCAATCTCCAAGTCGTAACACCGCAAGATCAACAACGGTTAAAGCACGGAATGAGAAATGATGCGGGATTTCTTTGAACAGGCCTTGGACGATTCCGAACACTTCGGACCTATGCAGCACTTCGTGAACAGTTTCACGCGAGTTTGAGTTTACAGTCAGGATTTCCACCTGGAAAGACAAACACTAGTACTAGTAGTACGACGTGGAAACGAGACTCTGTTTTAGCTCTTAAAAAGAAGATGTTGTGTGTCGCTTACGTCGCCGCGATGGATGAAATACATCGTGTTGTCGACATCGCCGTCTCGTACCACATAGTTTCCAGGGAAGAAGGTTCTATGGCTCAGGTGGAGGGACATTTGCCGTATAAAATCCCGTTCAGTTTGCGAGAAAATGTACGAATCCTTCAGAAGCGATCCGTATATCGATTCGGTCAGTTCCATTTGTATTGAACGTGGTAAGACGCTTATTATGTTGTGATAATCCTTAAAAGAAATGAATCAAGATCAAATTAATTTCGTTAGAAACATTTTACCTGCAATCCGTGATTTTTCTTCCATAACAATTTTAAATAATCAGTTATGTAGTTGATTTTCTTCGGCTTTATGCTTGTGTGAACGTAATAATTGTGTATTTCTCTTACCATGAGTTCGAAATTAACTAACGATAAATTTTTGCTTTGGAAAACATTAATTAATTGCCCTATTAACATTCCTATAAGAATCTTCGAGATAATCATAAAGATTATTGCAATTATTAATTGTTTATAAGACTGAGATAAAATACTTCCAGTTCCAGTACTTGATAATACATCAACAGTAAGATAAAGAGCAGCGGCGTATAAATCTTGGGAGTTCTAAAATTATTTTTAATTATTTTTCAAAAATTTAAAACTGGGGGATTACATTTTTATTGATTGAAGGCATGAAATCGTCATCGTTGCATTTTTTAAACGGGCAAACCATCATGTACCATACACAAGTCAAAAGATGAATTATTAAAGTTGATAAAACCACCAAATTGCTTGATAAAAAAATAAAGATTAATCCAACACAATATTTTCAAGCGCAATCTTACCACAGCTCCAACAAAAATCGGTTGTACATCAATTTATGTCTGTAGTATTTAAAAAATTGAAAAATATACATCATCCTGAGTAAAGTAATCAATCTTAATGCGGAGAAATAGAAATGTGAGCTTGTATTGGAAACGAATGGCACAAATAATATTGAATAACTAAATGGGAGATTTGTAATAAAATCTAGGATTTTAGTCCATTTTGTGAAGAAACATCTACAAATTAAGTGTCAAAAATGTAATTAAAAAATAATTTTTAACCTATTTGCGTTCCCATCCGGTGAATAAGGATAATTTATCTCCAAACAAAATTTGAGTAAAAATATGATATCGATAAAAACGGTTGTTATTAATAAATGAGTTGAAAAATGTTGGAAACTAAATTGGTACGTTGTAATAATACAGTTGTAATAAGCCGTAGCCAAGACGAAAACGGCTAAAATAATAATATTTAGAATTAAATTGTTTTTGGTAAATAATACTTACTAAAAAAATTAAACAGTAAAGATCGATAACTGATTGATTGTTTACAAAATGTTAACAAAGTGTTTTTGCTGTTAACGCTAGTGGATGTTTTAGCAGTCCAAAACAAATTCTAGAACAAGAAAAATAGTTTAAAAAGCATCTGTGTTTTGAATAATATAATCCGCGTTTTGTTTACCGGATTAACATACGTGCTTCCCTCGTCGACGAAACTACTCGGGATTGCGTAGTGCCTTTGTTCGGCTTGAGCGAAAACACCGATTTTCTTTTGAATAACGGGGTAATCCTGTAGGAAAAATGTTGCTATATATATTACACAAAAAGAAAATTTAACGATTATCTTGCATAAATATAATACTATGTAACTTAATTTATTATACAGGGTGAGTCAGAAAGAATGGGAAATAATCCGAATATCGGAGACACTAGACACTAAAATACACCTGACATCTCTTCTACAAATGTCGGTGATTTTCGAGGCACATGGTGTTGCAAGTTAAATTCTAATTTCGAAATTTCTTAATTTGGTAGTTTTTTTTTTCGAGCATGAGAAATACGCATTTGAAACCTGTTTTGTGATTGCTCGTAGATGACGCTAGATACACACTGCTCGTTAGATAAATCAAGTCATAACTATTTTATCAGTTGAGTTATGGTGAATTAGAACCACAAATCTGAAAGAGCTAGACAAAAAAGGTAGTCTTGCTTAAATTGTCTAACTCTACTAGTTTCTAAGTTATCTGCTTTTTTTAATTGTTTCAAAGTATTTTTTTTTTAAGTTAACATTTAAAATCAATAACACACAGTAACTACATGTATAGCAATCAGTAACGATAATAATCGATAACAATAACAATTAATTAATAACAATAGAATTTAATATAAATTTTCGAAGTGTGCACCATTAACCTCAACACATTTTACAATTCGCTTTTTTAAAGACCTTTGAATATTAAATAACATTTGATCATTATTTCGAATTGCAGTCGCAACATCTTGAATTTTTTGCTTCTGTTCCGTGATCGAATTAATTCTGTTTTTGTGTGCCATATCTTTCATTTGTGACCATATTGAAAAATCCAATGGATTTAAATCTGGACTTCTCGGTGGCCATGCATATTCACTTCAACGGCCAATCTAACGATGCGGAAAATGTTCATTTAAATAATTACGCATAATCGCACCGTCCTGCATAATCCACATGTCTTCTTTTAAAGCATCTGGCAGGTCATGTAAAAGCTCGTGTAGATCATCTTAAAGAAAACTTAAGTACACACGTCCGTTTAATTTGGGAGGGAATTCAAATGGACCAATGAAAAAATTGGATATTACACCACACCAAATATTTACTCGTCTTGAAACTATCTTTTCCTCACAGGATATGAATTCACGGAATCCCATAAGTGTTGAACAGAATCCCAAAAGAATCTGGTCAAGAAAATTTTCATTTTTGCGTAATTTGTTTTGTAAAAAGTGGGCATAATTTAGGCGATCTTGCGGTAATAAGTTTTGAACGGGAGTATAATGATATGGCCGAATTTTTTCTTTCTTTAAAACTCTATACACTGACAGATGAATTTTTTGCAACTCGATCCAGGATCTCTTCTTCTTCGTCACTGTTACTTTTAGGACGAAAAGAGCCTGTCTCGCTAAGGCGATTGTATAGATTGTATTGATAATAAATAGCAAGAAAGAGGAAAATTTTGTTTTATTTAATTGACTTAGATTGTATAGATAGGTTGCCTTCTATTTGGATATATGTAACTCCAAATATCTTTGGGCTGCTGCTAAACCATTAAAATTGGTTTGAGCAAAACAAAAATCATATCTCGCATATCATAACATGAGCGGAAAAATAATTCAACTTTGATTATGTTAAAAAATTTTAGAAACAAAAATACATTTAAACATTTAAATGTAAATAATTCGAAAACCGATAGACTTAGGCCCACTTTTACCACCTACTGATAAATTTATCCGATAGATAAATCCAGTTCTTAGCCAATGAGAGCGCTTGAAACCGCCGTAACCATGGCAACTATCCTCTAGATAGTTTATCAGGAGGATGGTAAAAGTGGGCCTTAGATAATTTAAATAGGAGTACCTTTTTTATGTATATTGGTCGTAGCTTAGCAGCCAAAAAAGTTCATCTACGAGCAATCACAAAGCAAGTTTCAAATTCATATTTTTCATGCACGATATCATAAAACTACCAAATTTTATGCTAACAATACAAAAAGCTTCAAAGTTATCAAGAAATTTCGAAATAAGAATTTAACTTTCACACCCTGTGCCTCGAAAACCACTGAGATTTGTATAAGAGATGTTAGGTTAAATCATTATATTTTGGTGTCTAGTCTCTCCGGGATTTTCCATTCTTTCTGTCTCACCCTGTACAGAGTGCGACCAAACCCGCTTTGGACATTCGAAGTATGCTAGTATTGTTTAAACATGGATAGAAAATGAAGTTGAAGAAAAACACGTCATTTCTGATAGAAGATGAAATTATAAAATATAAAAATTAGTTTGATATGGAAAAATAAAGATCTTGTTTCCAACTCCATATCAACACAAAAATGGCATCAAGTAATGTAGCGCCTCGGCTAAATAAGTTAAAATACACGATGTCAAGCCATTAAGCTGAAGTCGCTTATAGCCGAAGCATGTCAATTAATAGCACATCAACACAAAATACATTGTACCGCCAATGTCACAGGCCGAGGTATTACACAGTTAATATCATAAAAGTGGCAAGCGACCTCGGCTTCATTGGTTGATTTAGTTTATTTAGCGGAGGTCGCTTGCGGCTGAGACGCTACAATATATTTTGTGTTAATAATAATAAGCAGTCTCTTAAGACTGCTAAACCCAAATGTTTCTAGTTCTAGTTTTAGTTGTTATTCCGCGCTAGGTTGCTGTACATTTTCATTGAACTAAAACTAGGACTAACACTACAACACATTTTTTCTCGATTTTATTCCTATACAACCATATGATTTGATATGTTCATCGCATAGAGGGATTTATCCTCTATCAAAGTATGCAAAAAAACGTATGCATCCCATTAAAGATATCAATGTTGGTTGCCATAGCAACGAAACAAAAAACAATACAAACAAACAAATATCGCAAAAAAATGCACCAGGATTAATAAAGAAACTTGTATTTGAAATATTTTTCTTTGAAACCACAAATGGCAAAGTTATTGTCTATATTAGACATTTGACACATCCTGTATTGAACCTTTCAACTACTTCAATAAAAATATTCAACAATCTAGCACTTAATAACAATTAAAACTAGAATTAACACTAGACCTAGAATTAGAAACATTCGGGTTGTGTTAGTTCTAATTTTACACTAGCACTATCAATGAAACTAACACAAGACCTAGAACGAGAATCATTCGACTTTAGCCGTCTTGAGAGACATGCGGCTAAATCCGAATGTTTCTAGTTCTAGGTTTAGTGTTAGTTCTACTTTTGCACTAGCACTATCACTGAAACTAACACAAGACCTACTTTTAAATCTGAAGACGCACGGCTAAACCCGAATGATTCTAGTTCTAGGTATAGTGTTAGTACTAGTTTTACACTAGCACTATTACTATATAGAACTAACACTATACCCAGAACTAGAATTACAGTTAGTTCTAGTTTTACACTAGCACTATTACTATATAGAACTAACACTGTACCCAGAACTAGCACCATTTGGGTTTAGCCGCACATCTCGAAAGACGGCTAAACTCGAATGTTTCCAGTTCTAGGTCTAGTGTTAGTTCTAGTTTTAGTTCAATGAAAATGTACAGCAATCTAGCGCTGAATAAACTAGAACTAACACCTAGAACTAGAAACATTCGGGTTTAGCAGTCTTAAGACATGTACAATCGGTCGATGACAAGGACAAGTTATTTTTTTTTCTCTTCATTTCTTTATTATTTGGTTACTGTTCAAGTATGTGCAAGTTTCTTGTGTTGAGTTTTTGAGCGCTGCTGTTTTCGTTTTGTTGTTGTTTTTTGCTTTTCATTTTCTTTTTTTGGCGTAATTGAAAAGCGGTTTTCTGCCGAATTGCGCCATTTTTCCAGAAAGAATGTTTTGTGATGGAAATTAAGTTTAGTTTTAAGTAAATTAGTTTAAATTGGTTTTTTAGTAAATTAAGATAAGTTTTGTGAATGTATTGATTTAATTTTTTTTTTTTTAATTCTTTCTGGAAAATAAATGCATTATTATTATTATTACTATTAAGAGACTGCTTATTATTATTATCAACACAAAATACATTGTAGCGCCTCGTCCGCAAGCGACCTCGGCTAAATAAACTAAATCAGCCAATTGAATTGTATTACAGAGGAACTTAACAAGTACCTCTCATAACGAGTATTTCGCATAACGAATAAAATAAATTGTCTCACTTAACGCGTGACACGCATAGGGGAAGTCCCTTATTTATATGTATAGGAAACATTATTTCGCTTAACGAGTATTTCTCATTACGTGTAAGATTCTAGAACGAATTATGCTCGTTATGCGAGGTTCCACTGTATTGTTATATGCAAAATAAATTCCTTTATTATTATTATTATTAATAAAGCCGAGGTTGTTTGCGGCCGATGCATTACAGTTAATATCATAAACCTGGTGTCAAACAATGTAGACCCTCGGCCGCAAGCGACCTCGGCTAAAAAAAAACTTTTAACCTTTAAAATTCTTCGAAAATGTTCCACATTTAAACACAAAGTATCCAAATTTTTTAACGCCCTCNCAAATGATTCTAGTTCTAGGTATAGTGTTAGTACTAGTTTTACACTAGCACTATTACTATATAGAACTAACACTATACCCAGAACTAGAATTACAGTTAGTTCTAGTTTTACACTAGCACTATTACTATATAGAACTAACACTATACCCAGAACTAGAATCATTTGGGTTTAGCCGCACGTCTCTAAAGACGGCTAAACCCGAATGGTTCTAGTTCTGGGTAAAGTGTTAGTTCTTGTTTTACACTAGCAGTTACTATGTAGAACTAACACTATAACTAGAACTAGAATCATTTGGGTTTAGCCGCACGTCTCTAAAAACGGCTAAACCCGAACGATTCTAGTTCTAGGTATAGTGTTAGTTTTAATTTTACACTAGCACTGTTACTATGTAGAATTAACACTACACCTAGAACTAAAATCATTTGGGTTTAGCCGCATGTCTCTAAAGACGGCAAAACCCGAACGATTCTAGTTCTAGGGCTAGTGTTAGTTCTACTTTTCGTTCTATAAAAATGTACAACAATCTAGCGCTGAATAACAATTAAAACTAGAACTAACACTAGACCTAGAACTAGAAACATTTGGGTTTAGCCGTCTTTAGAGACATGCGGCTAAACCCAAATGATTCTAGTTCTAGGTGTAGTGTTAGTTCTACATAGTAACAGTGCTAGTGTAAAATTAAAACTAACACTATACCTAGAACTACTGCGCGTCTGAAGACGCACGGCTAAAGCCGAAACTTTAGAAAACACGCATAGAGGAAGTCCCTTATTTATATGTATAGGAAACATTGTTTCGCTTAACGAGTATTTCTCATTACATGTAAGATTCGAGAACGAATTATGCTCGTTACGCGAGGTTCCACTGTATTGTTATATGCAAAATAAAGGCCTTTATTATTATTATTAATGAAGCCGAGGTTGCTTGCGGCCGAAGCATTACAGTTAATATCATAAACCTGGTGTCAAACAATGTTGAACCTCGGCCGAAAGCGACCTCGGCTAAAAAAAAACTTTTAACCTTTAAAATTCTTCGAAAATGTTCCACATTTAAACACAAAGTATCCAAATTTTTTAACGCCCTCACCACAACCCCCGACAACGAAATATTTTTATCAAAAACGTTTCCAAAAATACCACCAATCCCCATAATAACCGGAACCATATTATGATGACCCGATATTTCAACCTAAAAAATTATAAATGTAATAATAAAAATGATTTTGTATGATTTCGCACCGCTCCTTTATGAATAATATAAATATCCTGTACAATATCGTTACTTCCAAGTACAATATCGCCCTCCATAAAATATTTCTCTTTTAATTCCTTCCCAAAAACCCTAAAAAAGGCGTGATCTAGATTTTCGAAAAGTGGAACGTGCCTTAATGTGCTTTCGTATAAACATAACATGGTGTCTTCGCGTAAACTGCTGTTTAATGGTGAAACTAAGTCGTAAATTTCATAGCCGTTCGTTCGTCTCCAATAATATTGGAGATGTTCAATTACATTAAAAGTAACGGCGCTATTTACTTTCTCGTTTTTTAGGTGATTAATTAGTCGTAAAAATTTGGATTCGTATAAAAGTAATCTTGTGTAATGTTTCACTTTTTTACCGACGATATCAATCAAAACGTAACTGAAAAAATTTTACAAATGAAAGAAAAATCGGTTTAAAATAACATCCAATATTTTACGTATAAAATACGATTCCTGTTGCAATTATAAAAATAACAAAGAGAGATTCACGTTTGGTTTTAGTTTGAATATCACCAAATCCGATTAAAGTCATTAATTGCGCCGTCCAGTACGCGGAGCTTATATAAACTTGCCAAACATCGGTGTAGTCTTTATAAAAAGAACTAAATAAAAAAATTTATTTTAATAAATTTAATTAGTTATGTAAAACTTACTTGTTTATGAAAGAGTTTTCGTTACAAAAATAATTATAATCTTGGATTTCCAAATGGATTTTTCCACGAAATTTAGTAACATTTTCATCAATTTCAGAAATATGCTTATATTCGCATGTATTCACCATTAAAATAATACTCCAAACATGAATAATTAATAGGGAATAAAAAAAATATTTGCAACAATGAAAAATGTTGCATTTTTGATATCGCTCACTTAAATATTTTATACCCCATACAACTTTATAAAAATCAAACATTTTTATTAAGTGAACCGAGCAGTGTAAAAAATGTGGACTCAACGAATGAGAAAATACACTGTGATCTTCGTTATGACTTCGAGCAACTCCTTGAATTATTCCTGAATAAGGAAACCAAATAAGAACATCAAGAATAAATGATCCCTTAATGTAATGTTCGGCTGTTGTCCAAGGATGAATAACAAGTTGATTTAATTGGTCGTAATAACTCAAATGCATCCTTATATAAGTATCGATGTAAGCAATTATATCGGTCGTTAGTAAAAAATAATATAAGTTCGGTTGATGTGGAGCGAGGGCGAATTCAATGGGGATGCAAATAAAAGTTACCAAACTGTTTATTGACCGTATTATTTGCCAAGTTATTATAAATAATCCGTTTGGAAGGATTGCGATTGGCATTAAAAGGTATTTTAAAAAACATATTTTTCCTGGTCCGTTTGAAAGTTTTACATAACTTTCTTTGTTATAGATACAATACTTATATGTATTTATAAAAGATTCTAAAACAATTCATAAATCATTATTAAATAATATTGAATAAATTAAAAAAGATGCTGCTACTTAAAAAAAGCTTAAGCAAAAATATGCATTGCTCAAAGATATATTGTAGCGTATCGATCCCACGTGACCTTGGATTAGCCAGAATGGAGAAGCTGGTTGGCTTAATCATAAAAAAGTATATATTTTCGTTAATATTATTACTTCCCATCTTGTTGGAATATTTATGTGAATAAAAAACTTTGCTTTTCAGAAGGGTGGAATTTTTTTATTTTCGGCTCAACCGGTTTCGATTATTTTTTAGTCATCTTCGGGAACAATAGCCACGTCAGTTTCACTCTTAATTTTCATAATCTGAATTCATCTCTTCTTTTATATACGCTTTCTTGAATTCTTTGTTATTAAATGATGTTAAAATTGTTTCTAATTTTATGTTTTTTCGTATTTTTTAGATCACGTTAATCTTGTTAATCTTTACAATGGTTGTTTTATTATTATTTTGAAAATAAAAATAAAACAAACTGAAACTGACGTGGCTATTGTTCCTGAAGATGACCAAAAAATAGTCGAAACCGGTTGAGCCGAAAAGAAAAAAATTCCACCCTTCTGAAAAGCAAAGTTTTTTATTCACATAAATATTATATATTTTCGGTTTAAACCTAAGTCAAAGTCGATTGCGACCGAGGCGCTACAATTGATAGAATAATACTAGAATATAATTGCAACGCTTCGGCTTAATTATGCAAAAATATACTTTACTCGTTCAAATTTAAGTCGAGCTAGATTATATCACGACATTACAATATTAACAATGATATATTGCAGCATATCGATCCGACATGACCTTGGGTCAACACGAATGAAGAAGCTATGATCGGCTTAATCATACAAAAGCATATATTCTTGGTTTAAACTTAAGCCGAGGTCGCTTGCGGCCGAGGCATTATAGTTTATATCAAAACATTACAATATTAACAATGCTATATTGCGGCGTATCGATCCCACATGACCTTGGGTTAACTAGAATGGAGAAGCTATGGTCGGCTTAATCATACAAATGCATATACATATACATGGTCAAAATCTAAGCCGAGGTCGCTTGCGGCCGAGGCATTATCGTTTATATCAAAACATTACAATATTAACAATGCTATATTGCAGCGTATCGATCCCACATGACCTTGGGTTCGCTAGAATGGAGAAGCTATAGTCGGCTTAATCAAAGAAAAGCATATATTCTTGGTTCAAACCTAAGCCGAGGTCGCTTGCGGCCGAGGCATTATAGTTTATATCAAAACATTACAACATTAACAATGCTATATTGCAGCCTATCGATCCCACGTGACCTTGGGTTCGCTAGCATGGAGAAGCTATGGTCGGCTTAATCATAGAAAAGCATATATTCTTGGTTCAAACGTAAGCCGAGGTCGCTTGCGGCCGAGGCATTATAGTTTATATCAAAAAATTACAATATTAACAATGCTGTATTGCAGCGTATCGATTCCACATGATCTTGGATTAGCCAGAATAGGGAAGCTGGTTGGTTTAATCATAAAAAAGCATATATTCTCGGTTTAAACCTAAGTCGAGGTCGATTGCGACCGAGGCGCTACAATTGATAGAATAATACTAGAATATAATTGCAACGCTTCGGCTTAATTATGCAAAAATATACTTTACTCATTCAAATTTAAGCCGAGCTAGATTATATCACAATATTAACAATGATATATTGCAGCGTATCGATCCCACGTGACCTTGGGTCAACACGAACGGAGAAGCTATGGTCAGTTTAATCATACAAAAGCATATATTCTTGGTTTAAACCTAAGCCGAGGTCGCTTGCGGCCGAGGCATTATAGTTTATATCACAACATTACATTATTAACAATGCTATATTGCAGCGTATCGATCCCACATGACTTTTTGTTAACTAGAATGGAGAAGCTATGGTCTGCTCAATCATAGAAAAGTATATATTCTTGGTTCAAACGTAAGCCGAGGTCGCTTGCGATCGAGGCATTATAGTTTATATCAAAGCATTACATATTAACAATGCTATATTGCAGCGTATCGATCCCACGTGACCTTGGGTTAACACGAACGGAGAAGCTATGGTCAGTTTTATCATATACAAGCATATATTCTTGGTTTAAACCTAAGCCGAGGTCGCTTGCGGTCGAGGCATTATAGTTTATATCACAACATTACAATATTAACAATGCTATATTGCAGCGTATCGATCCCACATGACCTTGGGTTAGCTAGAATGGAGAAGCTATGATCGGCTTAATCAAAGAAAACCATATATTCGTGGTTCAAACTTAAGCCGAGGTCGCTTGCGGCCGAGGCATACTAGTTTATATCAAAATATTACAATATTAACAATGCTATATTGCAGCGTATCGATCCCACATGACCTTGGATTTGTTAGAATGGAGAAGCTATGGTCGACTTAATCATAGAAAGGCATATATTCTTGGTGTAAACCTAAGCCGAGGTCGCTTGCGGCAGAGGCATTATAGTTTATAGCAAAACGTTATAATATCAACAATGCTATATTGCACCGTATGGATCCTACATGACCTTGCGCTCGCTAGAATAGAGAAGCTATGGTCGGCTTAATCATAGAAAGGCATATACATATATATGGTTCAAACCTAAGTCAAGGTCGCTTGCGGCCGAGGCATTATAACTTATACCACAACATTACAATATTAGCAGTGATGCATTGCAGCGTATCGAGCCCACGTGACCTTGGGTTCGTTAGAATGGAGAAGCTATGGTCGGCTTAATCATAGAAAAGCATATATTCTTGGTTCAAACGTAAGCCGAGGTCGCTTGCGGCCGAGGCATTATACCTAGTTTATATCAAAACATTACAATATTAACAATGCTATATTGCAGCGTATGGATTCCACATGACCTTGGGTTCGCTACAATGGAGAAGCTATGGTGGTCTTAATCATAGAAAAGCATATATTCTTGGTTCAAACCTAAGCCGAGGTCGCTGGCGGCCGAGGCATTATAGTTTATATCAAAACATTACAATATCAACAATGCTATATTGCAGCGTATGGATCCCACGTGACCTTGGGTTCACTAGAATGGAGAAGCTATGGTCGGCTTAATCATAGAAAAGCATATATTGTTGGTTCAAACGTAAGCCGAGGTCGCTTGCGGCCGAGGCATTATAGTTTATATCAAAACATTACAATATTAACAATGCTGTATTGCAGCGTATCGATCCCATACGACCTTGGGTTCCCTAGAATGGAGAAACTATGGTCGGCTTAATCATACAAATGCATATACATATACATGGTTCAAACTACAAAATTGATACAACAATACTACAATATTAGCCAAGACATATTGCAACGCTTCAGCTTAATTATGCAAAAATATACTTTACCCGTTCAAATCTAAGCCGAGGTCGCTTGGGGCCGAGGCATTACAGTTTATACCACAACATTACATTAGTAATATATCCTGCTAATATTGTATCGCTGTTGTATTAACAATAATGCCTCGACCGCAAGCGACTCGGTTTAAGTTGGAACGAAAAATGTATGTTTTTATATAATCAATTATTCATAATCAACACAACACTACATAATCAATTTCAATGATTTTTGTAGCGCCTCGGCCGTAAGCGACCTTTATAAGCAATAGAAGTGAGACATTATTATACTTAACTATTTGTAATAAATTTTTCATTAATTTTCTTATTTTTCATCTTAAAATCTCCCCTCATCTTAGTATAATGAGGATTTTCAATCATTCTAACTTCATAATTAGCGTTGTATTTCGCTAAAACTCTCTGCCTCGCTTTATAAACGATTTTGTACAAACCCACGGTGTGTCGTAAGGCGTTATTAAAAGTGGTAACGTCGATATAAATCAGCACACAATGCGTTGAGGTGTACGTATTATTCATTGAGGGTAATCCGAAAAGTAATGAAGAAAAGCCGATTGCCGTTCCGGGACTTAAATTTTTGTAAGTGTTACTTTCGGTTTGTTGTAGACAATAACCTTTACAAATAATATACATTTCTCGGTTAATGCTTCCGAAGTAAGTGACGATTTCGCTTGGTCCGAGTGTTATAATTCGAGCATTTTCCATTAAGTAGGTGATAAAATCGTCTCCTAAGTCGTTGAAAATTATAAAACGATTCATGTTTTGTCGGCATTCTTTTGATTTAATTTCTCTTTGTAATGTTGATGATACATCTATTGTTATGGGTTGATTTGTTAAATAAAAGTGGGCTTCATCTCTTTCCCATTGAACATCAAAAAAATTCCTGATCCTTTTTTCCAATTTTTTAGGAATATTTCGTTTTTTGCTGTGAAAGTTCAATGCTGAGAGGTGTTCTTGAAATTTCATTGATGAATTTGTTTTTAAGGTGATTAACGAAATTAATTCGGCGATATAATAACCCAAAACAAGCTTTCCTACAAATAAAATTAAAATTTATAAAATATAAATGTTGATAATTAATTACCTGAAATAATTCCAAACATAACAACAATTAAATCGGTTTGATTTTTCGGTAAAATATCACCAATACCGATGAAAAGAGACACTGATAAACTATAAATAAAGGAAATTAATAATTGGCCGTTTGTTGTTGATGACATAATCCTCGTTTCAATGCTGCTTTTTAATTTTTCAATGTACCATCCATTATGTGAACAAGATTGAAAGAAACAAGTTGTTGCGTATAAAAAATGAGCATTTAAATAAACAAATAAAAAAATTGTAACCATAAATTTAATACAACAAACTTTGACGGGATTTAAAATTTGTTTAATTTCGAATTTATCGAAAAGATTAAAAAATCTGTATATTTTTAAAAGTCGATTTAGTTTAAAAATAGTTTCATATCTTGATTTGTTATTAGTTAGAGGTGCGTAAACTTCCAAATAAAACGCACTAACAACATCTAAAGTAAACCCAACTCGATCTAATTGATATGATAAAATCCCAGTTAAAGTTTTTATCTTTTTGTTGTCGATATAAACAACCGTTGTTAAAATGACCACTAAATCCAATATGAAAATAATGTGAATGGCTGTTGATATATTGTTGTACCAATCAGGATAAAATCGAGTAAAAATAGCAAAATACGGATGAAAAATGGTCGCTACTAATGCACAAATAACAACAAAGCAATCCCAAATAATCACAATATATGAATCATCATTTGTTATCCATGCTGAATTTAATTTCCGAATACCAAATTTCCTTTGTTTCACTTTTTGTATATTATACAAAGCTAAAAATTTCATTATCATCTCCGTACATTGTATCTGCTCATTTAAAACCCCCTTTAATGTTTTTAAAACGTTACTTCTCGTTTCGTCGACAGTTAATGATTTCACAAGGCGTTTTTGTATCGAGTTTCGTACCTCCATAAAAAAATCGGGGTGAGTTAAAGAACATTTAATAAAATCACGGGTGTAGATCGCCTAAAATAAAAAATAATCGAAATTAAAACTTTTGAATTTGAAGCTTGTATAGCAGACGTAGAGAGGTAAATATTGGCTTGGCAAAAGTACGACTTCGACCACGTTATTTGCGCAATTACATCAGATATTTACACGGGTCGTGCACTTTTATTGCGCACGATATTTCGCTTTTGTTCTTTTTTTTGTTTCACGTCGATTCTCGCCGTTTTGTTTTACAATCCTGCATACGGAAATATTGTTACCGCACGTGAATAAAAATTTTTTATAAATGCCCAATCGGGCCAATTCATTCGTAACCTCGCTTTCGAAATCAAATTTAATGTACCGGAAAAAATTGAAAATGTACATATGTCGACTTTTTTTTTAACTATTATTTTTCCTCTATAATTTTAAATATATTTTCAAAATAAAAATTGTATGGTGTTGTTTTATATCCGCTGCACATCCACCGTTAATATTGTTTGGGTAGATTAAATAGAAACATAAAGTTATAAAAATAGTTAAAATTTCAATATTATCTAATCTAGTCTTCCATTAGCAGTGTTCGCTGTATTTACCTACTATTATTGGTGCCAAAAGTCAAGTACTCGATTTTTTAAATAAAAAATTTCAATTTTAAACAGGTGGTAGCCTGATGTGTTCTCAATGAGAGGCATATTTTATTTTGTCGATGTTCCATACATTTAGTTTCGCAGAAAATCGTGGTTTTTTCTAGTGTGTGTTCCAATGACAGGACGTCGCGCCTTAATTTCTTCATGTAAGTAAAATAAAGACGCGACGCACTGTCTAGAACGCACCATCTTTTCTGATAGGATGGAACCCCCCTCTCCCCGCAGAGCTTTCAGGACAGCTTTTCAGTACTTCTTCAAAAACAAATAACGCGTGTACAAGAACTTTTTCCAAATATATCTAGTCATTTGCAAGCAGTATCTAGTTTTAGAAAACAGTAAGTAGTCTTCTCCAAATGAAGCAAATGAAGCAATATTTAGTCATTAATTAGTTTGCTCTTAGTGTCAAGGCTCCTGTTAACAGTATCTAATGCCAGCAGTATTTAGTCTTCTGACTGTAGTGCCTCATCTTGTGCAAGCAGTAAGTAGTCATTTGCAAAATAATAAGCTGTCTTCGCCAAGCAGAATTTAATCTTCCACTAGTAGTATTCAGTCCTCTAGCAAAGCTAGTCTTCTACAAGCAATATTTAGTCTTCTCCAAATAATAAGTACTCTTCTACAAGCAATGTCAAGTCTTCCACAAGCAATTCCAAGTCTTCCACTAGCAATATCATTTGCACGCAGTATTTAGTTTTAGAAAACAGTAAGTAGTCTTCTGTAAGCAATATCTAGTCTCTCATTAATAGTATTCAGTCCTGTCGCAATATCCAATCTTCTAGAAACGGTGCCTAGTCGTTTGCAATTGGTATCAAGACTTCTATTAACATCAACATGGAACATGGACATTTATTAACAGTATCTAGTCTTCTGGAAGCAATATCTAGTCGTTTGCTGTTAGTATCAACGTTCCTGTAAGCATTATCTAATTAATCTCAGCAATATTTAGTCTTCTGGCAGTAAGCCTTATCTTTTGCAAACAGTCAGTAGTCGGAATACAAATTAGTGTATACAGGGTGATTCTCAACCTAAACGCATAAACTTGGGATTTATTCCTCATGACAAATAATGACTAATAGGTGAAAACATTGTAGTAATTGTGTTTTAAGATGGTATTAATAGTAGCTCGTCGGTCGCAAGCGACCTCTGGTTAATAATATGACAATACTTTCAGTTCCAGTTAAGGCGAGGTCGCTTGCGGCCGAGGCATTACAGTATATATTATTCAATACAGCATCAATTGTAGCGCCTCGGCCGTAAAAAACCTCGCCTTAATAAAATGACATCGTATTTTACGTCCGAACTAAACCGAGGTTGCTTGCGATCGAGGCATTAGAGTATATTATATCGTCCAAGATGGTATCAATTGTAGCGCTTCGGCTTAATAATATGACATAATCCTTTCAGGTTCTGTTAAGCTGAGGTTGCTTCCTTATAACAAATAATGACTAATAGGTGAAAAAAATGTAGTAAACGTTTTTCAGTCTCTTAGATATGCGATATAATCTGCGATATCTAGATAATGTATTTCCTAGAAGATGGTAATCGTCCAACCTCAATCCTCCTGATTTTTTGTTCAATATAGTATCAATTGTAGCGCCTCGGCCATGGGCAACCTCGGCTTACTAAAATGACATCGAATTATCTCCTATTAGTAGTATTCAGTTCTGTAGCAAAGCTAGTCTTCTACAAGCAATATCTAGTCTTCTCCAAATAATAAGTACTCTTCTACAAGCAATGTTAAGTTTTCCACAAGCAATTCCAAGTCTTCCATTAACAATATCTAGTCTTCTAAAAACAGTTTTTAGTCATTTATTCTTAATTTTTCGCAACCGGTATTAAGTCACCTTCTTCAAGAACAAATAACGCGTGTACAAAAACATTTGCTAATTGTATCTAGTCATTTGCAAGCAGTATCTAGATTTAGAAAACAGTAAGTAATCTTCTGCAAGCAATATTTAGTCTCCCATTAATAGTGTTCAGTCCTATTGCAATATCTGGTCTTCTAGAAACGATGCTTAGTCGTTTGCAATTGGTGTCAAAACTTCTATTAACAGTATCTAGTCTTCTGGAAGCAATATCTAGTCGTTTACTGTTAGTATCAACGTTCCTGTAAGCAGTATCTTAATGTTAGCAGTATTTAATCTTCTGGCATCTTTTTCAAGCAGTCTTTTAAAAACAATAAACAGTTTTTTGCAAATTCATGGCGTATAGATTGTTCAATACAGTATCAATTGTAGCGCCTCAGCCGCAACCGACCTCGGCTTAATAATATGACATAATCCTTTCAGTTCATGTTAAGCTGAGGTTGCTTCTTCATGATAAATAATGACTAATAGGTGAAAAAAATTGTAGTAGACGGTTTTGAATTTCCTAGATATCCGATATAATGGGCAACATCTAGATAATGTGTTTCCTGGAGGATGGTAATCGTCCAACCTCAATCCTCCTGATTTTTTGTTCAATATAGTATCAATTGTAGCGCCTCGGCCATGGGTAACCTCGGTTTAATAAAATGACATCGCATTATCTCCTATTAGTAGTACTCAATTCTGTAGCAAAGGTAGCCTTCTACAAGCAATGTCAAGTCTTCCACAAGCAATTCCAAGTCTTCCATTAACAATATCTAGTCTTCTAAAAACAGTTTTTAGTCATTTATTCTTAATTTTTCGCAACCGGTATTAATACGGTGTTTGATGTTGTCACCTTCTTCAAGAACAAATAACGCGTGTACAAAAACATTTGCTAATTGTATCTAGTCATTTGCAAGCAGTATCTAGATTTAGAAAACAGTAAGTAATCTTCTGCAAGCAATATTTAGTCTCCCATTAATAGTGTTCAGTCCTGTTGCAATATCTGGTTTTCTAGAAACGATGCCTAGTCGTTTGCAATTGGTATCAACGCTTCTATTAACAGTATCTATTCTTTTGGAAGCAATATCTAGTCGTTTACTGTTAGTATCAACGTTCCTGTAAGCAGTATCTTAATGTCAGTCTCAACCAACCTCGGCTTAATAATATGACATAATCCTTTCAGTTCCTGTTAAGCTGAGGTTGCTTCCTCATAACAAATAATAACTAATAGGTAAAACCTAGGCTTAATAAAATGACATCGAATTATCTCCCATTAGTAGTATTCAGTCCATTCGCAAAGGTGGTCTTCTACAAGCAATATCTAGTCTTCTCCAAATAATAAGTACTCTTCTACAAGCAATGTCAAGTTTTCCACAAGCAATTCCAAGTCTTCCATTAACAATATCTAGTCTTCTAAAAACAGTTTTTAGTCATTTATTCTTAATTTTTCGCAACCGGTATTAATACGGTGTTTGATGTTGTCACCTTCTTCAAGAACAAATAACGCGTGTACAAAAACATTTGCTAATTGTATCTAGTCATTTGCAAGCAGTATCTAGATTTAGAAAACAGTAAGTAATCTTCTGCAAGCAATATTTAGTCTCCCATTAATAGTGTTCAGTCCTGTTGCAATATCTGGTTTTCTAGAAACGATGCCTAGTCGTTTGCAATTGGTATCAACGCTTCTATTAACAGTATCTATTCTTTTGGAAGCAATATCTAGTCGTTTACTGTTAGTATCAACGTTCCTGTAAGCAGTATCTTAATGTCAGTCTCAACCAACCTCGGCTTAATAATATGACATAATCCTTTCAGTTCCTGTTAAGCTGAGGTTGCTTCCTCATAACAAATA